CAATAAAATATTTTTGTTAGAAAAGAAAAACATGTGCAAAGTACATAGAGAAGCTGTATTATTATCACTCCCTCTTCATCAGTCTTCCTTCATGCCCCAGCTTCCTGATGTGACACTGGTTCTCAACTCTGCCTGCACATAATTAGAGTTAGCTGGGAAGCTTTTAAACTGCCAGTGCCTGAGCCCCACCCCAGAATAGCTGAGTCTGGATCTCTGGAGGTAGGGCTGGGCATGCAGTTTTTTAAAGCTCGAAACCACTGATTGTAATTTCAAGGGACTTAAACACGAACAGGTCAAAATGACATAACTATATAACTAATTACATTCAGCCTCAATAACTATTTCTAACTGAGCCTGGTAGGGAGGGTGTCAGCCATAGAAAATAGCTGCTTAGGGGAAGAAATGAACTGTGCAGGATCAGAGGAAATTTTTTGTGGTGAAGCAGAATACTAGAGCAGAAAGAGAACTTCCTTGGGAGTCAGACTTCAGTTGAATCCTGTCACTTGGCCAATTTGACTTGGCCAAGTTACAATTGACTTGAGCCTCAGTTTCCTCATCTGTAGAATGGGAACAATTAACCTGCCTGTGAGGATCCCAGATAATGTATGCTAAATGCCTGGTGCTTGGCAGATGAGTGCCAACTCTATTAATTAACAATAGCAAAGCTGTTACTTTGAAGAACCTATTCTAAAGAATGGGGACTGGGGCCAGCCCCGTGGCACAGCAGTTAAGTGTGCACGCTCTGCTGCTGGCCACCTGGGTTCGGATCCTGGACGTGCACCAATGCACCACTTGTCAGGCCATGCTGTGGCAGCATCCCATATAAAGTAGAGGAAGATGGGCACGGATGTTAGCCCAGCACCAGTCTTCCTCAGCAAAAAGAGGAGGATTGGCAGGGATGTTAGCTCAGGGCTGATCTTCCTCACAAAAAAAAAAAAAAAATGAGGACTAAGTTGTGCAAAAGAATGGGGACCAAGGTTGTGCAAAAGAATGGGGACCAAGATGTGCCCCTAAGATGGCCTGCTCAGGCCCTGAACTACTGAAACCTCCCTGAAGGAGAAAATCCTAGGGGGGAGAAGGAAACTTGCCATGGAGCCCAAGGAGATAGCAGAGGGAGGAGCCACGGGGCTTGTCTGTCCTGGACCCGCCAAGGCTGAATGCTGCGGTCTGTGGTCCTCAAGCCTCATCAAGGGAAAGAGACCTCCAGGTGCTAAGGGAGGGGAGATGCAAAGACAGGCTGTGTGCCTGCAGAAGAGGGAGAAGCAGGCCGAGGGCTGTGCAAATAGAGAGAAGGAGAGAAAGAAGAGGACCCTTGTCCTCCTCTGCCCCGGGAGGAGGTGCTTTCCCACTCAGACCACCGCTGGAGTCTCTCTACCTCAAAGTCCACCTTCAACCACTGCTGAAACACCCGACTTCTCCTGAGAAGCAGTCTCAGAACACTGAAACGTGTCCCCCTCCCAGCATCCAGGAGGTGGCCTCGCATAAAAGCAGTCCTTTCCTGGGCTCGGTACTTTGCAGTTTACCCGTGCCGCCCTCCCAGCATCCAGGAGGTGGCCTCGCATAAAAGCAGTCCTTTCCTGGGCTCGGTACTTTGCAGTTTACCCGTACCGCCCTCCCAGCAGCCAGGAGGTGGCCTCGCATAAAAGCAGTCCTTTCCTGGGTTCGGTACTTTGCAGTTTACCCGTGCCGCCCTCCCAGCATCCAGGAGGTGGCCTCGCATAAAAGCAGTCCTTTCCTGGGCTCGGTACTTTGCAGTTTACCCGTTCCTCCCTCCCAGCAGCCAGGAGGTGGCCTCGCATAAAAGCAGTCCTTTCCTGGGTTCGGTACTTTCCAGTTTACCCGTGCCCCCCTCCCAGCATCCAGGAGGTGGCCTCGCATAAAAGCAGTCCTTTACTGGGCTCGGTACTTTACAGTTTACTGGAGCATTTTGGGTCCATTTAAACTTCGTAGGAATCCTTCAAAGTGGTTGGGGCAGGAACCCAATTTACAAGAGAAAACTGCGAACTAGCACAAGGATAAACAGCCAGACAGTGGAGTCAGAAGGCCTCCTGGGACTGTCGCTGAATTCTCGTGTGACCTTCAACGTGTTCCCGCGAGCCTCTGGGCCTCAGTTTCCCCTCCCAGCTCCGGCCGTTCGGTTTCCCAGCCGCCGGGCTCCCGCCGAGCGGGCAGCGTCGCCCGCGGGGCCGCTGGGGGGCAGTCGCGAGCGCCCGCCCCGCCCACTTCCCCGCGGCCGCCGGCTGGGACGGCCCACGCGCGCCCGCGTCCGCGGCAGAGGAGCCGAGTGCTCGGCGCGGCGGGGTCGGCCGCCCGCGTGGTGCCCGCGGCCCTCGCAGCCCCGCCATGGCCTGCTACATCTACCAGCTGCCCTCCTGGGTGCTGGACGACCTGTGCCGCAACATGGACACGCTCAGCGAGTGGGACTGGATGCACTTCGGTGAGTGGCCCCCGGGCGACCCCGCCTCTGTCGAAGCGGGTCCTCGCGCGAGGACTTCTGTGTGCCGCCCTCGGGGCCCGCCTCGCTGTGAGCCCTGGCGCGGGCGCTGCCCGCTCGGGACCCCGGTGCCGTCCGTCCTCGGGAAGGTGTTGTGTGATCTGGGAAGGTGTCTCCTGTTAGTCTGTCGCTAAGTAATGACGGGCGGGGCTTGGCTGTTGACGGTGAAGCTTCTGATAAGAGCTATCAGCAATTACCGCGTGCTTACTGTGTGCCAGGCCCTGGTGTCGGCCCTCGACACGGAGTGTCTCATTAAATGCCCATCACAGCCTACAAAGTGCGTGTTTCTCTTACCCCGTCTTACAGATGAGGAAACGGATTTAGAGAGTAGAGTAACTTAACCGCGGGCATGGCGTTGCTAAGTGGCAGGGTGGGATTTGAACCCGGGCATCTGGCTCCGCCAGGACCTGTAACAGCTTGGTGTGTGGCTGATAATTGGCCGAGAGGGCGTGGCATCTAGGAGGAGGCTGTGCACGTGTAGTTCTCAGGTCCCCAAGCAGAGGTCTGCATTCCAGGCACCACCACCTCCCAGCTGGTGACTTTGGGTGAGTTGCTTAACCTCTCTGAGCCTCAGTTTCTTAATCTGTAAGTTGAAGGTTGTTGTGAGGAATGAAAATTGTATAAAAAGCGGCTGACACTGCTGTGTCAGAGATTCTTGTAAGAAGGAAGTGTTAACAATGATCATTCTTAGTTTTATGTTTTAAGTCAGTGTAACTGGTGCCACTTTATTCTTTAAATAATATCTATATTTGAAATTTAGATTATGATATATACCATTTATACAAGAGTATATAATATATATGTACAGTTGAAAGAATAATAGTAAAGTGAACATGTATGTGGTATCCATCCAGTATGAGCAACTGATAACGTGTTGTAACCTTGTGGTTCTCTACTAGGTGCGATTCTGCTCCCTAGAGAATATTTGCCAATGTCTGGAGAGATGTTTGGTTGTCACACCTTGGGGGATGCAGCGGGTGGAGGCCAGGAATGCTGCTGAACGTCCTACACTGCCCAGGGCAGCCCTTCCACAAAGAATTATCTGGCCCAAAGTGTCAATAGTGTGGAGGTTCAGAAACCCCATTTTAAACCAGTAGCAAAAATAGTACATGCTTCTTGCAAAATACTGTAGGAAACAAACATAGATTAGCTCCAACTCCACTACTCGGGGATAACCTTTCTTATTATTTGGATACCGGTAATAATAATAACAGCAGCAGCTAACATTTATTGTCTTCTTACTATGTGCCAGCAGAGATGTTTTGTGCCTTCTAGTCTTTTTTCCCAAACACATTTATATATCTGTATACGTTTTTCAAAAATCATATCATTTTGTACATTATGATAGTCTGCTTTTTTCACTTAAAATATATCACAATTATTTCTCCTTGCCAAGCAATATTCTTTAGCAACATGGATTTAGGTTTTTATTTTCAATGTGTATTTTTATTAACTATTTTTAATGGAAAAAGTAACAAATGCATTAGGTTAAAGGATGTAAATAATACACTGGAGATAGAGAGGAAGGGAAATATCTTTCCTCTCCCTGGTCCTCAGGGTCCTCTCCCTAGAAGCAGTCACTGATAACACTCAGCGCCCCTCTGAGAAGGTCTGTTACCACCTGAGTTTCTAGACTTTGCTATGTTCCTTTGTTCTGTGATTAAATGTGATTTAACTACTTTGAATGTTTCCTGGGCAGGGGGCAAACTTTGTGTAAGAGACTCGCTCTAGTTTTTTCCATGTTGGCTTCAATTGTGAACATCAGAACAACTTCTGTTCCTAGGATATTAATTTAGAAGGCACACCTATGACTTTTTTTTTAAACAGCTTTATTGAGATATAATTCACATACCATATAATTCACCCATTTAAAGTATACAATTCAATAGAATTTAGTATTTGCAGAGTTGTACGTCCGTCTCCACAGTCAATCTTAGAACATATTCATTACCCCAAAAAGAAACCCATACTCCTTAACTGTCACCCCCAGCACTCCCGCACACACCTCCCGTTTTCCTCAGCTTTAGGCATTGCCTATTCTGGACGTTTCGTATAGATGGGATCGTTCTGTGTGGTCATTTGTGACTGACTTCTTGCACTGAGCATGTTTTCAGGGTTCTTCCGTGTTGTAGCATGTTATCAGTGCTCAATGTCTTTTCATGACTGAGTAATATTCCGTTGTATGGATGTACCATGTTTTATTTACCCTTTCATTGGTTGGTGGACGTTGGGTTCTTTCCACTTGTTGGCTGTTATGAATAATGCTCCTGTGCACATTCGTGTACCAGTTTTTGTGTGGACATAGGTTTTCATTTCCCTTGGGTAGATAACTAGGAGTGGAATTACTGAGTCATGTGGTGACTCTACAATAAACATTTTGAGGAACTGCCAGTTTCCAAAGTGGCTGCACCATTTTACATTCACACCAGCAATATATGAGGGTTCCAATTTCACCACATTCTTCCCAACACTTGTTGTTGTCTGTGTTTTTGATTGCAGCCATCTGAGCAGGTGTGAAGTGGTAGCTCATTGTGGTTTTGAGTGGTATTTCCCTAATGACCAATGATGTTGAGCATCTTTTCATGTGCTTATTGGCCCTTTGTACATCCTCTCTGGAGAATACCTCTGCCTTTTTTAGGCACTGGAGACACCAGAATTGCTCAAAGTCCTCAGCAGTTTCCCATTGTGATTTAGGATATAATCTAAACTCCTCACTAGGCCTGCCTGATCTCACACAAGCTGACCCCCACTGACTTCTGACCACCTCTCCTCCCACACCCATTCTTGCTCACCCTGCTCCAGCCACACTGGCCTCCTGGGTCCAGACTCAGGGCCTTTGCACTTGCTGTTTCCTCTGCCTGGGACATTTTCCCCTTGTGTTCCCCATGACTGGTTCTCTAGTCCATATTAGTTTCCTCTTGCAGCCGTAACAAATAACCATAAATTTAATGCCTTAAAAACAGCACAAATTGGGGCCAGCCCCGTGGCGTAGAGGTTAAGTGTGCACACTCCGCTGCTGGTGGCCCGGGTTCGGATCCTGGGTGCGCGCCAATCACCAGTTGTCAGGCCATGCTGTGGCAGGGTCCCATATAAAGTGGAGGAAGATGGGCACGGATGTTAGCCCAGGGCCAGTCTTCCTCAGCAAAAAGCAGAGGAGTGGCATGGATGTTAGCTCAGGGCTGATCTTCCTCACAAAAAAAAAAAAAAAAAAACCACAAATTTATTACGTCACAATTCTGGAGGTCAGAAGTGCTAAAATCAGGGTGTCGGCAGGGCTGCATTCTTTCTGGAGGCTCTAGGGGAGAATGCATTTCCTTGCCTTTACCGGCTTTGGAGGCTGCCTGCATCCTGTGGCTCGTGGTTCCTGCCTCCACTTTCAAAGCCAACTGCGTAGCATCTTCAAATCTTTCTGTCTGACCTCTGCTTCTGTAGTCATATCTTCTCTGAATCTGACACTCCTGCCTCCCCCTTATAAGGACCCTTGTGATTACATTGGGCCCACTCAGATAATCCAGGATAATCTCATCTCCAAACCCTTAACTTAATACCATCTGCAAAGTTCTTTTTGTCATGTGAGGTACCATATTCACAGGTTTTGGGGTTTAGGACACTGACATCTTTTGGGGGTTCTCAGTTCATATGTCACCTAGTTCAGGAGGCCTACCCTGCCCTCTGTTACTCTCTGTCCCATCACTGTATTTTATTTCCTTCATTCCACTTACCATGCTTCGACATTACCTTGTTCCTTATTTGTTGATGCCTGCCTCTCTCTCTAGAATGTAAGCGCCATGAGGGCATGGACCTCACCTGTCTCGTTCACGCCTGTGTTGTCAGAGCCTAGGACAGTGCCTGGCCAGTGGGCAGACATGCAGTGACCACTCGAATGAATGAGGAGCTCAAGGAGGTAGGAGTGGTGAGGATGTGGGCCATGTCCACTTCTCGCCCCACAGAGATGGCTTTGAGCCCAGGGTCAGCCAGCTCTCCATGCTGGGCTGGGGATCGCTGGGCTGGGAGCCAGCCGTGCCCCCTGGTTAGCTGCTCCTTGCCAAGTCACAGCACTCTCTGGTTTCCTCCTCAGCAGAACAAGTGATTGCCATTATCCTTCCAGTCCTAAAGAGTCTGCTTCTGTGAGTCACTTTAGAAAAGACAGTCCCTTGGGGCTGACTGTGGTACTGGGGAGAGGGGCTGGGAGGATCCTTAAAGTGATTCAGAAAATCACACAGCCACAAATATGCACACTCTGTGGATCTGACAGTTGTTGGCAGATAATGTGACTGCCTTCTATCCATTTCCCTATGATTGCAGCTGCATCCATTTTTCCTTTGGGGGAAAACAGGCTTCTTACAGCTTCACCCACGCCAGGTGTGTTCCGAGGGGCCTGGGGGCAGGGCTTCCTTGGTTTGACCACTCTCTCTCTCACTCATGCATGCGCCAGCCTTTGTGCATAGCCCCCTGCTTTGTCCCTGCCCAGCTGTGTGACTTCAGTAAGTGACTGCCTCTCTCTGAGCCTTTAGTTTCCTCATCTGTAAAATGGGGATGAGTTGCTGGGAGGCTTAGGGGACAGGCGCACTTTCTCCTTCTCTCAACCAGGGAGGAGTCTGGTTAGTCCAGACAAGGGGCATTTGACCCTAGGGCGGATCATTTCAGGGGGCTGTGCCGTGTCTGCCCCAGAGGGCTTTGAAGACGGGCAAGGTTTTCTACTGCAGCAGGTGAACCCCTGCAGGATTCAGGAACTCAGACCTGGAGGGATAGAAACAGGTTTTCATAGAGTGTAGATGGCTGAAAATTACACTAACGTTAATATCACATTTACTATGAGCTGAGCACTATTCCAAGTGCTTCTATACGTACAGCTAATCTGATCCTCACAACAACCTCTGAGGCAGGTGCTGTTGTTATCCTTGTTTGCACATGAGGAAACTGCGGCACCGGGAGAGGTGAAGGGCCTTCCCCAAGAACATAGCAAGAAAGTAGCAGAGATGGGATTTGAACCCAGGCCTCAGAATCCCAAGTCTGGGCTCTGAACCACTGTTGTACTGTCCTGCCGACATAAGCATAGAAAAGTCTCGAAGATTAGAATCAGAAGCATACCCAGTGCTTTCCTTGGGGTCTTCAAGTGGGATGCTCGTGGGTGCTTTGATTTCCTCCCATTTTCCAAACATTCTATAATGACCGGGTAGTACTTGTGTTTGTTGAGAAAAGAGCTGTGGACTTAGCAGGGCCCTGGGCAGTGACTCATCACCCCAAGAGCTTTATCCTGTCTTGACCCTGTTTTAGAGGTCTGGTTAAAAGCTCACTGGGCGTGACCTTAAGATTTGTCACTTTCATGGAGCTAAAATGTCCAAACTGCAAGGCATCTCAGAGTTGATTTCCTATTTTCTTGCATTGCCTGTGGGGAAAGTGCAGCCCACAGAGGGGGAGGGCCGAGGCGGAGTTTCCGCTGCTGGGAGCACCAGGGCAGGCTGGGCTTCTCTCGTTCCCATTACGTCATGCTGCCTCCCGCGAGTGAGAGTGGGAGGTGTGCCCCTGAAGGACAGGTTCGTGTGCAGGGAAGGGGCTGGGGGAGGTGTTCCTTCCTCTTCCCTCCGCTCCTTTCTCTCTGCTGCTGGAAGCGGCCCCTGACCCTGATGACATCACTTCCCACTGACCAGGAGTCTGGCCTGGGGTTTCCAGTGACTAAAGCTGCAACTCGAGAACTTTCCATCCCTATCCGGCACTTCTCCCCGCAGGAGGCTGTCACAACCTTCCCCATTCCTCCCGAGGGGAGGGGATTATGCAACGTGATCACGCCACTCCCTGGCCCTAAGGTTGTCCACGGTGTCTACCATGTGGACTCTCAGGATCAAGTACAAACCCCGCAGCCTGGTGTTCAAGGCCCCTTGTCGTGTGGTCCTGGGCTTCATCTCTTGCCTCCCCTTCCCCACTCAGTTCGCTTATGTTTGTATTTTCGAACACAAAAGCTCCATGAGCTTCTGGCTGACTCATCACAGTATCTCTAGAGCTTGTCACAGACCTGGAACACAGTAGTGCTCACTAATATTTTGTTGAATGAATGAAGGAATGGCTTGACGCTTACATGGATTCCTGCTCCATGATTTCTGAAATCCTGGAACTGAAGCGTGATTATTTTATTCCTAGTTAAAAAAAAAAAAATGCCCCCTTCACTTTAGTAAACTCAGTGGAGTACTATGTGACCATGCAAAATGCCATTTATGAAGAGCTTCTAGCCACTTGGGAAATGCCTATGGGGTCATGTTGATAGAAAAAGCAGGGTGCACGATCTTACTTGCAGTCTGGCAGCAGCTGCTTCCAGAACCACCCCTGTGTGTGTGTGTTGGGGGGTAGTTTTGGAAAGGGAAAGTACTCAAGTAGGGCATGTGTAACTTGTTTTATTAGTTTTTCCCCTTGCATATTCCAAGTTTTCTTTCAGGAACAACCATTCATTTTATAATAAAAACTGTAAAAGGAATGCATTATTTTTAGTATTGCCAACTGTAGCCCTCTGCAAATTTTGTACAGTGCTTCAGAGTTGGCAAAGTGCTATTAGATCCGTGGGCTCTCTTGACCCTTATAACAGTTCTGTGAGGATGGTGCGCTGTGGGTTCATTCATTCATTCATTCATTGAGTTCCCCCTACCAGGAGACTTAGGAGTGAGGAGAATGAGACGCCCAGCGCAAAATTTAAGGAGACGCCTACTCACCAGCTGCTGCGAGTGCAGGATCAGCCCTGAGCGATCACCTCCTCAAATTTCCCCCCCGGGTCCTCCCTTGCCTCACTCTGGTCCTGCCCCTCCTCTGTGCCAGACACTGTTCTTGGTTCTGGGGATCTAATAGTGGGTGGGACGGATAGAAGTCCCTGCCCACACAGGGCTTCTATTCCAGAAGGGCAGGCAGGCAGAGTTCTATTAGCCCCGTTACCGTCGAGGAGACGGGGGCTCCCAGTGGTGAGGCGACTTGCCCGTGGCACACGAGCAGCTGGACCTCAAGGCCCCAACCCTCTTGTCTGGTGGTCTTGGCTTCCTGTGTGGCGGCGAAGTTGAGCTTTACGGTCAAGGGTTAATGTGCCGGTCCCTGGGGTATTGAATGGAGTCAGCCTTGTAGCTTGGGCTGCCTGTGGATCCCAGCTAATGGAATTTCCGGTATGCTGGGGGGCAGGTGGGGAAGATGTTGTGGATGAAGCCCGGCTAGCGAGGTGACCCTCTCGCGGAGGGACCGCCTTTCCGACTCTAAGCAGATGCTCTCCCTCGCCCTCCAGCCTCCTACGTGGTCACAGACCTGACCCAGCTGCGGAAGATCAAGTCGATGGAGCGGGTGCAGGGCGTGAGCATCACCCGGGAGCTGCTGTGGTGGTGGGGGATGCGGCAGGCCACCGTCCAGCAGCTGGTGGACCTCCTGTGCCGCCTGGAGCTCTACCGCGCCGCCCAGATCATCCTGAACTGTGAGTAACCAAGAGCGCCCCTCGTGGCCGGCCCCCCGGCGTGTTTCAGCACGAGCTGCACTCTCCGGCCTTAAAACCGTTTTTAATCTTTGTTTTGTTTTGTTTTGTTTGTTGTTGTTTTGTGAGGAAGATCAGCCCTGAGCTAACATATGTCGCCAATCCTCCTCTGTTTGCTGAGGAAGACTGGCCCTGGGCTAACATCCGTGCCCATCTTCCTCCACTTTATATGGGACGCCGCCACAGCATGGCCTGACAAGCGGTGCCTAGGTCCGCTCCTGGGATCCAAACCTGCGAACCCTGGGCCACTGATGCAGAGAGTGCACACTTAACCACTACGCCACCAGGCCAGTCCCATAACCTTTTTTAATCTTAAAAAAAATTTGAATGAAAGAGTTGACCATCCAACTAAGAAATTAGTAACAGCAGTTACCTCCAGGGAGAGGAATTGGGTGGCCAGGGAACAAGGTGTTGGATAGAGACTTCACCATAAGTCCTTTTGTACCTTTTTAATTTTGGTTCTCTATCCTAAAAATACATAAATTATAATTAAAAAAAATAGCTATAACAAAAATTCAAAAAAGTCTACAGTAAAAATGATTTACTTCCTCATTCTACTTCCCAGTTTTACATCCCAAGAAATAACCACTATTAACAACTGCTTGTCTGTCTTACTAGAAATTTCCTATGCGTGGCCAAGCGTGTAGATGTATCTAAACTCCTTTTTAGTACAGAGAGTAGCACACTGTGCACTCGGTTGTGGACTTTTTCCCCTGGCAATCAGTCTCATAGGCTGCTTCTCCTTGGCACAGTCTTTTCACAGCTGCGTTGTATTCCTTTGACAGACGCACTGTGATTTATTTACCGCATCCCCACTTATCGGTGTTGTGGTTGCTCCTAGCAGTTTTCTCTTGTATACAGGGTCGTGACAATGCCCTACGACATACGTGCCCTGTTTGCACACGTGTGGGTCTAGCTGTAGGATGACTTTCCAGCGCTGGGATGGCTGGGTTGAAAGTTTGTGTGTTTAAAGTTTTGGTTGATGTTGATATCGATATTACCAAATTACCCTCCTACGAGAGAATACGATCATGGTGGGAACGTATTTAGCAGGTAATAATACCTCCCTGCCTTGAAGGGTGGCTGTTGAAGAAGTGGAATACGTCACGTGCCTGGTGTTCAGCCGGTGCTCAGCAGAAGGCACAGGGGTGAGGGGGCTGGTTACCCCCACCCAGGTCCCCCACCCCTCCTCACGTCCCCACAGAGACCCCTCAGTGTGGGGCAGTGAGCTAGTCTTTTAACGGGTACTTACTGAGCACCTGCCCAGTGCCTGGGGCTGTCCCAGGTTCTGGAATACAGTGGATACTCTGGAATACAGAGAATACTCTGCCCTCATGGAGAGCATAGTCTTATGAGGAGACAGTCAGTAGACAGGAAAACAAGTACAAATAACGGGATGGAGTGACCAGGTAGGGGACCCTCCTAGAACACGGTGGTCAAGGAAGCCCAGTCTGAGGAGGGGACATTGGAGGAACGGAAAGAAGACTTGGGGTAAGAGAGCCCAGGGGAGAGGGAACAGCATGTGCAAAGGCCCTGAAGAGCCCAGAGTGTTGAAGGAACTAGTAGAGAGCTGGTGGGGGAGGCAGAGAGCAGGGCATTCAGGGCCCCAGAGGCCTGCAGAAGGCCCTGTGCGGGCCTGGAGCTGTCCTCTCTGGGTTTCCTGAGCGGGAAATAACCTGGCTGAACCAACAGACCCAGGTATAGCACCTGCCTGACTGTACCTTAGGCCTTCCATAATCAGGGAGGGCTTCCAGGAGGAGAGGTGGTGGGATCCAGAGCAAGGAACTAAGGGATGGGGGCTTAGAGACTTCCACCCTCAGAGATAAATCAGGACAGCAGGGGACATTGGGGTGGCCCTGCAGGGGGTGTGGATCTAGAGCTGCAGCCCAGCTGGGCATTCAGGGGCAGCATGGGGGCAGACCACACTGGGCGCAGGAGGCCAGTGGGGCAGCAGGACCATCTCCTGCCCTTCAGCCACCTACTGGCTCTCCAAGACTTAGGGTGCCTGGGGACACAGGGCTCTCGACACCAGGTCTCATTGGATAAAGGAGAGTTCCTCTGGTGGCAGGGTTCCCGTCTGGGGGCGGGTCGTGGTGAAGATCCTGTTCACGGTGGGAGTGACACGCCAGCGTGAGACTCCAGCTGGCTCCACACGGGGCTGACCTCCCGGCCCCCAACGGTGTGTTCTGTAAATCAAGAGTGGGCACATCTCAAGGCGTCTGCCGTCTCCACCCGCGCCTGGCCAGCCTCCCCAGGCCCACCGTCCTCCTCAGACGGCTGGGGGCTGGTCTGTTCAGCCCCGAGCCTCCCCGTTCCTTTGGAACCACCTGAAATCCCTCCCGGCCCCGCCAGCCCTTCTGTCCTGAGAGGGCTCCGCCTAGTGCTGTCAGACAGCACCCTCCCCTAGCATCCCCCGCCAGGGCCAGGTCCTCTTCTGGTCAGCCGGAGGCGCGGGCGGTTTACAGTGAGGTGGAGGCCGCAGGCCTGCGTTTCCGCGAGGCTCAGCCCTGGCTTGTGTGACCTGGGCAGGTCCCCTCCTTTCCCTGAGCCTCAGTCCCTGCCCTTGTCCAGTGGGGGCGGCTGCATGACATCTGTGCTTCGTGCTCTAAGCACAGAGCCTCCTCTGGACACTCGTGCGCTGTGGCCCCCACTGTCGCTCGGCCCGCGTGGCATTTCACTCAGTTGGCGTGACCACTGCCTGCCCTGTTTCCCTGTGTGGACCTGGCTCTGGCTTCTCTGTGTGCCCAGAGCCTGGCACATGGTAGACGCTGAGAAACGATCATTGAGTGACTGTGCCCTCCAATATTTTTCACGTTTTGAGAGAATTAATGATGAACTCTTAATGGGTTCACAAAGAGGCAAGGAGGGGCGGGGGGAAAGGCCGCTGGGTGAAGTGCAGTCAGAATCGAGGGCCGGGCTCCGGCGCAGTCCCCTCAGGAGGGGGCGCAGCGCAGGGTCCACGCCAGGCCCTGGCTCTGTCCTCTGTCCTCGCGGAGCGCGGAGATGCTGTGGTGTCCTGAGCCTGAAAGTGGAGAAGCACGGGGGATTGAGACACAGGCCTCCCGGTGGACACACCAGCTTGCCATTGACGTCAGAACCTGGCTGCTGACTAATCTCAGAATGTTCTTAACAATTTGAGGTCACAAACGATACAATGCCAGACTTCAAGAAATACAGTCATCACAGCGGGACACTTTGTGGTGAGCTAACACTGACCGGGCAGTTTTGACGTGCCAGGTGCCGAGCTGCGTGCTTGGCTCCTCTCAACAGCCCCTCAAGGTGCATGCTGCCAGGAGCCCCTTTTCCATCTGAGGAAACTGAGGCCAAGAGTGGCTAAGTGACTTCCCCAAGGGCATAGGTCTGGTCACGGGTGGAGGGGGAGGTCACACCAGCCTCTTCTGGATCCAGAGCCCTCATTCTTGGCTTTTCTCCTGGGAACTTCACTGAAGGCAGTGTTTGGGCTTACGGGAAACTGGTGTTTTCCCTATCAGCCTCTCTTCTGCCTCGAACTTGGCTCGGATCCCTGGTTTCCGGATCCAGCAGCCTTGGACCTCTCAGGGTGGTGAGAGGCTGCCTTTGTTCCCCAAACCTCTTTTCTCTTCCCCTTAGCCCTGCTGATTAAAATTGCCTGAGGAAGAGAGATTAAAGCCTGTTTCCACATCCACAAATCCCCTGGTTCTTCTTTTGTTTGCAGAGTCTGGTTATGGTTTTTTTTTTTTTGTTGGTGGTGTTTTTTGAGGAAGATTGGCCCTAAACTAACATCTGTTGCCAATCTTCCTCCGTTTTTTTTTTCCTTTTTTCTCCCTAAAGCCTCAGCAGATGGTTGTATGTCACAGTTGTACATCCTTCTAGTTGCTTTTTATGGGATGCCGCCTTGGCGTGGGTTGATGAGCGGTGCGTAGGTCCACGCCCAGGATCTGAACCCAAGAACCGTGGGCCACCAAAGCCGAACACTCGAACATAACCGCTACGCCACTGGGCCGGCTCATGGTTGTGTTTTTACTATTGCTTTGAGTACTCAAGACACTTCCCCTTTCTGTATCTTGTTGTTTTTTCACTAGGAAAAAAAAAGTGCTATAAATCTCTTTTGCTTTCTAGAGGTGAGTGTAGAGGGCATGTGTGAAGCGGTTTAATTTTCTGTATTCCAACTGGTCAAAGCCTTTTCCCTTCCCTAATTGTAACATTAGTTAAACCTTATTTTGCATTTACTTGCTGAAGATTGTTTATGAACTTGCTCAGCTGCCTCCAGCAGTTTGAGAACCTCACTTCTGCCCACCACTTCTTAAAGGGCTTTACGAATAGGTTTGAATAAAACGGTGCTTGAAAACCACACATACCAAAAGTCCTAGATATAAAGTGGCTTCCTCAGAGACTCATGTCTCCAGGTAATACATTTGTATTTAACACAGGCCTTCTTTTTTTTGTTTGTGAGGAGATCAGCCCTGTGCTAACATCTGCCAATCCTCCTCTTTTTTCGCCGAAGAAGACTGGCCCTGGGCTAACATCTGTGCCCATCTTCCTCTACTTTATATGGGTTGCCGCCACAGCATGGCTTTCCAAGCAGTGCATCCGTGCACGCCTGGGATCCGAACCGGCGAACCCTGGGCCACCGCAGTGGAACGCGCGCACTTAACCACTTGCGCCACCGGGCTGGCCCCTAACACAGGTCTTCTGAAGGTTGTGCCTGAGCTGAAAGGCAGTGTGTGGGGTCCACTGCTGTGTTGTGTGTGTGTCCAGTCTCTTGAAGTCATATACTGTGTGTGGGTGGCTGCTGGTCCGACTGTGTAAAGAGCTGAGTCTATGGGTCTCTGTTTCCTGATGTTTTTCTCGGCTTGAATTGCCAAGACCATTGTTATTCAATTTGTCAAACATTGAATGTTATAAGAATTAGAGTAAATTAGTGCAGAAGGCTTACTACCCAACTACCCGTTCCTTCCTTTGGC